TTTAGCAGTGGAAATTCTGAGTATCGCCTCTAAGAACACATCTGACTATGATTACCTCTTCAGAACATTGAAAGGCTGACCTCAATTCAATAATCCGCACTCATATTTCATCGCCAGTAATTCCATCATAATCGGTAGAATGTTTGTCTACAAAATGTCGGTGAATACTCGATGACTTAACGTTAACTATGCTGTGACAAATTAAACATTGTGCTTTCCATCAGTATTTACAAAAAAAATAGGCTTCTTCCCATACAGGATTGAACGACATCGTTTAAAAAATAAGCACGTTAAGACCACTTTGCCTTGTCCTATTAAGAAATGGCCTGCGACCGGGGGATAGTCCAATAATATTTTGCTTTCTGTCCCGACGGCTGTGTAGTCAAGGAAACAACATGTTTTCGATGCTAAGAGGATGGTCATTGAGAGGACTTAGAACTTAAACACCCCCGCCCCTTACCCCACCGCATTACCATGGGTTCCGGTGAGCTATTTACATGAACAGACGCATACAAGCCATTTGAACAACCACGATAAAGTTCAGGTAGTCTCCAAAAAATATACTGCCAACATTTATATTATACAACACCGAACTGCTAAGAGGCGATTGAGAGGGCAACACAATGCCTTACACCGGCCGTCGACTCTTTTCCATTTTAGAGTACGTTGGTGGCCGGGGACCGAACCGATAATAGGTTTTAGAATTAGCATGCCCATTGAGAGTCGCCTCTTTTCTATAATACAATAGGTTATTGATCGGGGATCAAAGCGTCAAGAGGTTTTACAATCAGAATGGTCATTGAGAGGGCGTCAATGCCTTCCATCGAGCTATTTATACGATACAAATTTGTCGGTATGGATTAAGGTGGAGGGATGAGAAGACAAGAGGTTTTACAATTAGAATGGTCATATCATCGGATTACGGTGGAGGGATGAGGGGGTCTACTCGGACTTTAAACACCCCCGCCCCTTACCCCACTACACAAACCACCCCTCACCCCCCGGGAGGATTTGCTTCCGGCCTGTATCATCTACTGCTGTTCGCTTTACAGTTGCCCCCACGTCGTCCATTGTGCCTTGCCATGCCCAACTTCGCTGAAGTTCCAGATTGCAGTGTGTATCCCATAGCGTTTCGTTATCTACTGGGTGTATAGAAAAGGACCTTTTTATTCCTATATTGCGCAATTCGCCCACCGCTCAACACATATGGCTGAAGAACCGATCGATCGAGCGCGATCGAAAACTTATAAAGGCAGCAGTGCACAAAATTTGTCATTACGACATACAACAATGTTTTTTAGCTTTAAATATGCGTAAATCGATGCGGTTTTCACGAAAAAATGTTTATTTTATGTGTTTTTATGTATTGTGCGAGTATACCCCCCCTCTCCAAGAGGAACTCCAAAATTGGGGGTAACGGGAAAAAATTGAAATGTTGCAAAAATAATAATATACACCTGCGGATTTGAACTTAATCTCATGAGACCGCTATACTTTATGTCTCTTGTAATCGATGTCGCGCATCAAGGGCGGATCCAGGATTTCGTCTAGGGGCGCGCAAACGATCTTTGGGGCTGGTAATTTTTCTACCTCAGTGGAACTTCTACAATGTATCCTATTCATGCTCCTTAAATCCATTGTGTTCAATCTGTGCATTACCAACTTGAAAAAAAATATGGAAAGGGCTCAGAAATCCTCAGAAAGGCAATATTTTATTATATGAGAACAAAAGAATTACGTGGCATTTATAATTAATAACTAGTGTAATAGTATTACAGATTAAAACATAAAAAACTTCATTGCTCTCTTAACCAAAAAAGAAATTTTGAGAGACCCCGAGACATATCCCAGCCATTCCACACAAAACAATGTCTTTGATGGCGAACGGGCATAAGACCGAAATATTCACATTATCGTATGGACGCTAGACGAGAGAGAAGGATGTCTATAGACCATCTATAGATCGTGCCTTGAGACCGTCTCCAGACTGCCTATAGACAAATTGCGCAACGGGGTCTATTAGTGTGTACTAAGCTTAAGGATTAATACTCTGAACTACCCGTTAAACAAATCAAGTAATTGGTGTAAATACTGACACAATCAAGCACTTCTATTATATCAGCAGGTGATAAAAATATCAATATGTATAGTCAATTATTTATTGAAATTCAATATAGATGTTACAGTTATTCTTCAGACTTTCGTTGTCGAACTTAGATTTACGGCATAGTTGTTGCTTTCTCAGTTTTCGAATCAGTATTGATCGCATGTAAAAATGATGGAAATCTTTGGAAAAAACTATATACAGGTATGTTAGATCGTAGTTATTTTGATAATGTGGGTTTGTACGGAACAAGAACAGGAATACAGGGCTGTACATATTCACGTGTAGTGCAGAAGCTCTGAGACTTAAACGAATTCCAATATAGCATCATAAATAGAAGCATACCCGGGAAGAAATGCGGAACGTGTTGTATTGACTTTGAGCTTCGATCGACGCATTTTCTGGACAGGCTACACGCACCGCTAAGCAAATCTCAAAAATGTATTATATTTCCAATGTAGGCGTTCATCTAACTTAATAGTCTAATCATATTAGCAAACTTTTCCGAAATAATTGTAAAGTCCGGTTTTATTGGTGCAAGTTGTTCAAGTGCGCATTTTAAACATGGACGCATAAAATGGTTACATCAATTTTTGTGTGGAAAAACTTTTTATTTGACAAAGAATGACAAAACCGGCTTTTTGGGATTCAATCGAAAGAGTTGACAGGAATGAAAAAACTTTGTATGTAAGATTTTTAGGTATTTATGAGACCTACAGAATGAGACCACACTTGAAAAGATCCGACTAATAGCAACAATATTATGGCCCTAAAACCAGGCAAAATGCAGGTTTTGGCACTTGTTGGTAATGCGACGATAATTTTACGCAACTACTTGAAATTGTTCAAAGGATTCATACTTCTGAATAACAACAGCAAAATTGGAGTATAATGGTCAAGTAATTTTTTGAGAATTTCTAATTGTTTATCCCAAAACACCTGTTTTCCGGACATCACTACTAGTTTATTGAGCTATATACAGGATTAGTTCAAAGAGCATTTAACAGCAAAATACACTAATTTACCTTGCCGATATGAATTACAAACCATTCCGAAAGATAAATGTTATTTTTATGCGAAAAAAAAGGTTACGTTTTTCTCTTCAAAGCAAATTCAAACATTTCGTATTTCTAAGTAATTGAGCAAATGCGCTACGATATTCGAAATAATTATAAATACGAAATGTTTGAATTTGTTTAGAAGAAAAACGTAACCCATCCTTTTTTTTGCATAAAAATAACATTTATTTTCCGGAATAGTTTTCGATTCGTATCGGCAAGGTAAACTAGTGTATTATGCTATAAAATGCCCTTTGAACTAACCCATGTATATTGCTCAAAAAAAACTAGTAGTGATAGCCGGAAAATAGATGTCTTGGGATAAACAATTAGAAATTCTCACAAACTACTTGACCAATCTACCCCAATTTTGTTGTGGTTATTTAGAAGTACCAATCCTACGAATTACAAGAATTTCAAATATCTCCGAGAAACCGACTTCGCATTAAAAACACGTGCCAAGACCTGCAGTTTGCCTCGGTTTTCGGCGATAACTTTTTTGCTATTAGTCGGATCGTTTTAAATACTTAAAAATCTTATAAGGATAGTTTTTTCGTCCCTCCCAATTATTTAGATTGAATACCGAAAAACACGTTTTCTCATTCTTTGTTGTCGAATAAAAAGTTTTCCCACAAAAATTGGTGTACCCATTTTATGCGTCCGTTTTGAATACCCCCTTGAGCAGCTTGCAGCAATAAAACCAGACTTTAGAATTATTTCGCAAACCAGGGGTATGTTCGTCTAATATGATTAGACTAATAGTGCTTCGCAGCAACACCAACCCCCGAACAAATTCAGTAAAAAAAAAAAAAAAAAAAAAAAGTCAAGCTTTACGCACCTTTCAAATTACTATTGAGCACCAAAGAGAACATAAATCACTTTTTAAGTGCAATCTGTATAGCTAGTATATTGCTTAGACTTAGATTTGTGACAATACTCGTATATACTACGTATAAATCGTAAGAATTGTGCTATAAAGGTAAGTGATATCGAAGAGGGACAGCGTTTGGAATACCAAAGGATACCAAAAATCGCAATGCTTAGTTCCTATAGCTATAACTTATAGTTAGTATACCTCTGTCGCCATGATGTGTCTGAAAGCAACACAATGATGTTACATTACAAAAGCAATTTTCAGACGACTAGGGGGGGGGGGCGCTACATGGCCTACAGCCCCCTCAAGATACCCCCTACCTCAATTTTAATATTAAACACATCGAAAACACGCTCATTATTTTCGAAAAGCGATTTAGGTCCAGGATTTTATTGCATGTATAATTTTCCAAAATCGAGTTAGGTCCAGGATTTTTTTTGATGAATCGTGATTATTTATCATATTATAACCACGCACCAAGCGGTTTGCCCCAATGAAGTCTGGAAGGCCCCTATCCGTACCTCGATCAGAATTCGATCAAACACCTATCATTTGTGAAAATCGGCTAAGGACCAGGATTTTATTGCATGCATCTCGTATCTACTCTAGCAACCTACAAAGTTGCTTTGCCGAGTGTGCCCGGAACATTGTTTTTCAGCCCCTAGGGCACTTAACGCGGTGTATATACGAAAAAAATCATAATTTACCAAAATTGAGTTAGGTCCAGGATTTTTTTCGATAAATCGTGATTATTTATCATATTCTAACCACCCACAAAGCGGTTTGCCACAATGAAGTCCGGAAGGCCCCTATCCGCACTTCGATCAGAATTCAGTCACATACGACTAGACCTCCCGATAATAAATGCAAATTTTGCGCTAAATTCTGTTCACCCAGTGAAGTGAAATGTTCTAATGCTAACTGTGATACAGTACTTCATGGAAAGTGTTTCGATGCAGTCGTTATGATTGTCACATTGAAGAGAGAAGAATTTCGCTGTAAAAACTGTGCAGAAATCAACAACGAATATACTGATACGTTTAATACTCAGCTCTTGCAAAAAGAAGTTGATTGTCTCTCGAGAGAAAAGCAATTGTTAGAAAAATATGTGAATGAACTTGAGTTTTCCAATAATATGTTGAAAAAACAAATGCACTCTGATCCTATTGTTTCGTCATCGGCTACTCGTTTCTTGCCTCATTCCTTGTCATCAGTTCCTTATTCTGAAGCGGTAAAAAAGAAGGTAATCACACCAGCTGTATTAGTAATCAAATCAATATACCAGAACATGGGGAATGCGGAGTTAGAACAAGAAGTGAAATCTAAATTCAGGTCAGGTGCTATGAAATTTAATGTTACTGGCACAAAACTGATCAAAGATGGTATACTAATTAATTGTGCTGACAAAATCTCTGCAGAATTGGAAAGATGGCCTTAAGCGGGAAGGTGGAAACAACTTTGATATCTATGAGCCCAAAAAACTACGACCAAGGATTTTAGTTTAGGGTGTGGATAAGTCTGCTGCTGATAATCCTCAGATTTCGGATAACATAATTGGAGACAATGATCTCAGTGTCCCTGTAAATGATGTTCGAGTGGTTAAAAAACTTGAATATAAAAATACTGTTAATGTTGTTTTAGAAGTTCCTGCTTCTGTTTTCAAAAACGTTATGAGAAGGGGTTTTTTGTACGTTGGCTGGAAGAAATGTGGCATAAAAGAATATTTTAATATTGTTAGGTGCTATAAATGTAACAAGTTTGGACATTATAAAAAGGACTGCAAAAATCCTTCTGCAATATGCCCTAATTGCTCAGGTAATCACGAAAAGAGAGACTGCAGTTCACCTAATCTTATCTGTAGCAATTGCAAAGAAATTAACAATAAATTGAAAACCAATTACCTGACTCATCACACTGCTCGTCAAATATGCTACTCGTGTAACGAATGATACAGAAACTCTTCTGGACCCGATTTTCACCAATAAACCCCAAATGTTTGATGAATGTTTTATACTGGATGCTTGTGGTATTTCAGACCATAAAGTCGTAGGTTGTAGTATGGACGTGAAAGATACTGTTAAAAAACAGAAATTTATCACGGTAAGAAACTTTAAACAGTTCAACGAGGAAAGTTTTTTGCTAGAGCTTCAATCAAAGGAATTAGATACAATTTTCTACTTACAAAGCATTGAAGACAAAGTTGAATACTTAACTAAAGCAGTTATAGATGCATATGATGAACACGCTCCAATCAGAACATTCAGAGTTAACAAAAAACCTGCTCCTTGGTTGAACAGCAACCTTAAGAAACTACTAAAAGAAAAAGATGAAGCTTTGGCTTTTTTTAGAAAGAATCGAACGGAAGAAAATTGTGCTAAGTATAAACAGAAAAGAAATAAAGCTCTCTTACAGATTCGCAAACAAAAAAAAGCGTACATTGAATTGTTAACGGAGCAAGGTAATGCGAAAGAGTTGTGGAATGGACTCAAAAATATTGATTTTAGTAGTAAACTCCCAATACCGTCAAATTTTAGTGATCCCGATGCGATTAATGACTACTTTATGAGCGTGTACTGTGCTAATAATATTTCCGAAGATGTAATTCAATTTTATAAGCGAAATAAGTTTCACCCAAACAATAACTTTTCTCTAAGAATTGCCGAACCTTTTGAGGTATTTCAGGCAATAAAAAGCTTACAGTCGGATGCTAAGGGCATCGATACCTTATCTTTAACCATGATTAAAGTCAGTTTGCCTATAACGTTTGCTCATATTGTACATCTAATCAATTCATGTATTGAGAAAGGCTACTTTCCCACTCTGTGGAAACATGCCTTAATTATTCCTATCCCTAAAATTAACAAATCAACCCAGCTTTCAGATTTACGACCAATAAGTTTATTGCCGGTGTTATCAAAAATCTTAGAAAAGATCGTTCAGATTCAAATAACTGCTTACATTGAAGTATGCAAAATCTTCTCCACTAATCAGTCTGGTTTCAGAAAACACTATAGTAGGGGAGATCGGGGTAAGATGACGAACGGGGTAAGATGACGAACCTCTATATTTAAGTAACAGAATTAATTTTTGAAATGTTTCTGCTGGCGCCATCTAGGTATCAATGTCCCGCATTAAAATTAGTGTGCAGTTGACCAGCCTTCTTACTTCTGTAGTAGTCTTACGCAAACAGCTGTTTTCATGGTGTCCGTTATAATATTTTCCTGAATTTAATAAGAATTTGTGTCGTTCTCAGGTAAGTGAACAAACCCAATTTGATACAAATAATTCTTTAATACTAATAGTTATTGCCAGTAGTAAAATTGTTGATGTTTCGTTTTTGTTTATATTTTAACCTCAAAGTTTGTTAAATTTGCACACTGGGGGTCATCTTACCCCAAGCAAGCAAAATACCGAAACCAATTTGCTTTTACAGAATGCCGAGAGTCTATAAGCGCAAAACCAATCGTGGGGAGTGGAATAAAGATGCCCTTATAGCAGCTATGAGAGAATACGCGAACGATCTTTATGTTGTAATGCAGCCGCAATAACTTACGACATTCCTGAGCCCACCTTAAGAAGATACTTAAAAAAAAGCCTTAGGCAAGGAGTTGCCGGAGGGCGCAGGTCGGTTTAAGAATACCTTTAATGCGCTACAGACGAAAGATTTTGTCAGCTACCTAACAACCAGGCCTTGGTTTAAAATCCATCCAAGTTCGGAAACTCGCATATCAATATGCTGAAGCGAATCATATAGAACACAGGTTCAACAGGGAAACGCAAGCAGCCGGTACTGATTGGTTCAAATCTTTTAGTGCATGTAACAACATGAGTCTCAGAAATCCTGAAGCGACTTCAATTGCTCGGCTACGAGGATTTAATAAAGTTACTGTAGAAAAGTTTTTTGCAGTTTTGAAAGAGGTTAGGACTAAGCACAAATTTAAAGCAGACCGCATCTATAACGCGGACGAATCTGGTCTTTCAACGGTACCAAGAAAGCTGCCAAAAGTCATCACTCCAAAAGGCCAACGACGTGTTGCTAAAATAGTCACTGCCTAAGAGATCGAAATACAACGTTGGTGTGTGCAATGAATGCTGCCGGGTCATACGTACCACCATTTTTGATATTTGGCCGCGTTAGAATGAAACCCGAACTGTTAAATGGCTGCCCTCCCGGTTCTGATGGTAGGGCAGAACTTTCAGGCTGGATGACGGCGAACATTTTTCTTGCCTACTTAAAACACTTCGCCCATTACACAAAATCGTCTATTGATTGTATTGTTACTGGACGATAATCACAGTTCCCATATTTCCCTTCCGGGAATCAACTTTTGCCGAGAAAATGGTATTGTGCTGGTGGGGTTTCCTCCTCACACAACCCACCGTCTGCAACTGCTAGACGTCTCATTTTTCGGGCCCTTGAAGGCATTTTACAACCAAATGTGTGATTCTTTTTTAATTAATAGTCCAGGAATTCCAATAACTGACCTTTGTTTGGAGAGGCTTACTGCAGGGCAGCTACTGTAAATAATGCCGTAAATGGGTTTAAAGCTTGCGGCATTGAACCTTTTAATCCTCTGGTGTTTGACGATAGTGATTTTGTACCTTCAAAAACAACTGAACGATTTGAACAACCTGAAGTGAATGATGCTCTTGTGATAAATAATGATGATGATGATTCCAGGTTATTAATAGAAAACGAGGATTCAGAGTCCACTGATAATGAATCTGAAGTACCTTTAAATGTGTTGGTTCAAAAAATAAAATCTGTTACTACACCTGAACATACCATATCAAATGAAACACTCAAGACTACAAACGGTCAAAGAGAGACACATAAACGACAGGTGTTTTTAGAAAAAAAACACTTCAAATGAGCCCCTTCCTACCATTTGGAACATAAGGCCAATTGCAATATCCGAGCGGTCCTCTAACATTGGTAAGAAGATGTCATCTTCTGTCATAAGTGGCACCCCAATAAAATTACAACTAGAACAAAAACAAAAGGAAATTGACGAAAAAGAGGAGAAGAAAAAACTAAGTCAAGAAAAGAAGCGATTGAAAGAGCAAGGGAAGAAACCCAAGAAAATAGAGCACAAAAACGCCGCAAAAAATTATTGCCCAGTGCAGCTAATGTTGCAGGACCCAGTGATGTCAATCCCAGTGCTGTAATGTTGCATGTCCCAGTGCTGTCGATCCCACTGCTGCAGATATTTCTGGTCTCAGTAGTGAGATTTATGTATGCCCTGCATGTAACGAAGAATTATAGTGACCCACCAACTGAAGACTGGTTGCAATGCTATCATTGCCTATCATGGTGGCACGAAGCATGTAGCCGATATCAGGGTCATGGAAGATTTCATTGTGATTCTTGTGAATAGTCATCTTACCCCAATAGGTGCGGGGTAAGTTGACGAAAATGGTGTTTTTTTGTTTTTTGGTTATTTGGTGAAAATTCGTTCATATTTTCATATTTTTGGTAAGATTAACATTACCCAGAATCATAAACATGTTTGTATTTACATGCATTAAACGCTTAAATAAAGTTACTTCCTTTGTATTGCCTTTTTTTCTTAGTATCGTCATCTTACCCCGATCTCCCCTACAATTGCTGCCTTATTAAATCTATGCGACAATGTGCTACGTTCGCTTGATAAAAAGATCACAGTAGCTTTGATATCGGTTGATTATTCTAAGGCATTTGATAGAATCAATCATCTCCTTCTTCTAGCTAAATTGAAATATATTGGCTTTGATAATACCTCACTTAAATTGTTCTGTGCTTATTTAACCGACCGAGTTCAGGAAGTTTCTCTATCTAGACAGAGCTCTGTCCCAAGTGTCATACCATCTGAAGTGCCTCAGGGATCTATCCTAGGTCCTCTCTTATTCCTCATCAACACCTTCGATCTATATGCAGTAATGGAAAATTCTGAAATGCAATCTTTTACAGACGATACCCAAATAGTACATTATTTTAAAGCTAGTGAATTACCAACAGCTAATATAGAGCTACAACATGATAGTGACATGATTTGTAAATATTCAGCCAATCATAATTTATTAGTTAATCCTGAGAAGCCAAAAATCATAGTTTTCAGTTCTGATTGTAGTATATTAAGTACGCCCCTGGTTCTCCGAAAATTGCGCATGTACGATGAGTACTCTCACCGGGATACGTTTAACACACAGTATGTCGGGGTTCCGGATTTGTAACAGATATCGGTGATATATAATAAACCATTAGTATACTTCCGGGTATTATTGATACCAACTAAGACATTACATGGCGACGAGGTTTATTAAAGAACTCGCCGGGTGAGGTTAAGTGTGTGTAAACTCCCCGTTTGTGTTGAAACCTCCAGTTGTTGGTGAACCAATCTGTGCACAAGAAAGATGGCAGTTGCAGCAGCGGGTCCCGTGCTCACATTCAATCCCAAGGAGAACGAGTGGGAAGTTTTCTTCAAAAGGTTAGAGCAGTATTTTATAGTACACGGGGTCACTGAAGAAGCTGACAAGAGAGCTCATTTGCTGTATAGTTTGTCTGAGGAGGCGTATATTTTATTAGAAAATTTATGTATGCCGCAAAAGCCGGAAGAAACCCCATACCAAGACATAGTTCAGTTATTGTCTAACTACTATGGTAAAACTGCTGTTGTATGGGTCGAAAGGCAGAAGTTTTATAGTGCATCCAAATCAGGAAATGAGACGGCACTAGAATGGAGTGTACGACTTAAAGGTTTAGCTCGCTATTGCAGTTTTGGTCAGCAGCTTGAGTCCAAGCTAACGGACATTTTTGTTACGCAGTTCAATCCTGGGAAGGTGAGAACTGAATTATTCAGCCTAAACGAGAACACCACCTTAAATAACGCTGTTGAAAAGGCCAAAATTATCGAAGCAACGCTAGTAATAAGAGACCCAGTTGGTGAAGTTAAAAGCGAGGTCTTAGAATCCGATGTTTTTCGAATTACACAAAATAATTCAAATGTTGGTGCCACTGCCGATCAACATCAAGATCCTCAACGGTATCATAGAGAGACAGCAGTACCTGCTGCGCAGCGGAGCCAAGGAGGCACGCGCAGGAGTGGGGGCAACAGCTCAAACATGGCGCTGCAGTAATGTGTGCCCCTATAAGGAATATATTTGTAACTCTTGTCACGGTAGGGTTCATCTCAGTGTGGTGTGTAAAAAGAAAAAACAATCCTCACCTAAGCACGTTAATTATGTTTTTCCTAATAATGATATTGCTGAGGATTATATAGACGTTTTTTCATCCCCAGTTCTAAGTATTTCTAGCTTAGGAAGCAACAATGATGTGCCACTATACAGGGTGTTCCATAATTATTGCGACAAAATGATAGGGGTTGTAGAGGGCATCAAAATGAACAATTTTGCCTTATAAACCCCTGTTCGGAAATATGCCGTTTGGGCTGCAGCAAAAAAAAACATCAGTTTCTTGAAACGGCTTACCTACAGTAATTGCTCAAAGTATCCTCCACCTAGTTCAATACACAGCTGTGCACGATTGTTCAATGATCGGCGAACTCTGTGGCATACCCCCGGTATGTCCTGAATATGTGCGGACGCGGCCATCACTCTTCCCAGTAGCTCTTGTTGGTTGGGAACAGGAGTTTCGTATACTAAAGCTTTCAGATGGCCCCAGAACAAAGCAATCCAGTGGGGTCAGGTCGGGTGACCGCGCAGGCCAAGGCACAGGGCCACCTCGGCCTATCCACCTATTTGGAAATTTGTCGTCCAAATACTGCCGCACTTGTAAAGAAAAGTGGGCTGGAGCGCCATCGTGTTGAAACCACATGTTGGCTCTTATGTTCATTGGCACATTTTCTAATAGTTCCGGTAGCACATGTTGTAAGAATCGACCATAAGCATGCCCATCCAAACGTGGTGGAAGCAAATATGGCCCGATGATATGCTCGTCCACAATGCCCCACCAGATGTTAATTGAAAACTGATGTTGGTCTCTATGGATGGCTATGGCTTGAGGGTTTTCTTCGTCCCAAATGTGACTGTTACGGCTATTAAAATAACCGTCCTTTGTAAAACAGGACTCGTCAGTGAACAAAACGTAACGACCAAAGTTTGGTTGCCTCAACTTCTGCTGCAGCCACCAACGACAAAAACGTCGACGCGGCAGATAATCTTCTGGACCCATGGCTTGGATTTTTAAAAGGTGGTTTGGGTGTAGTTGCTGGTCATGGAGAACCCGCCAAACAGTAGTTTGAGACGCTGCCATATCATGTGCAATAGCACGCACGCTTGTACGCGGATTGGCCTCCACATGGTGCATAATCGTTTCCTCAAATTCTGCTGTGCGCTTCGTGAAGGGCCGCCCTGCTCCCGCGAGGTGTCTGATGCTGCCACTGACACAAACACGTCAATGAATCCTTGCAAAAATGGCGTGATGCGGATGAGGACGTTCTGGAAAGCGTTGGGAGTAGATTCGCGAGGCTCGTCTCTCTTAAGGTAAAATTAGCGGTAGTGCTCAAACGGCATATTTACGAACAGGGGTTTATAAGGCAAAATTGCATATTTTTATGCCCTCTACAACCCCTATCATTTTGTCGCAATAATTATGGAACACCCTGTATATCGATATTTTAGTTGAGAATGTCATGTTGAAATTTGAACTTGACAGTGGATCAGCTGTTAGTGTTTTGCCACTTCATGTTTACAAAACATATTTTGGTGCTCACGTCATGAAAAAAACAAATGTTTCCTTGATTAATTTTTCTTGCAATAAGATCATCCCACATGGCACAATCAACTTAAATGTTAAATTTAATTTCAAAGATAGAATCCTACGCTTTTTTGTTGTTGATGGTAACAATCCATTGCTCCTAGGTCGAGATTTTATTAGGAATTATAATATGAGATTTAGAGAAATTCATTATTTGAACAACGATGCTGTTGATGCTCTATGTAATGAGTTTCATGGCGTTTTTGCAACCAATTTGGGAAGGTTCAACAAGTGTAAGATCTCCATAAATATTAAACTTGATGCAAATCCCATTTTCCATAAACCTAGGCCGTTACCATTTGCAATTAAAGGTAAAGTGGAGGAGGAATTAGATAAATTAGTCTCTAATGGTATAATATCTCCAGTGGAGTTTTCAGAATGGGGTACCCCAATAGTACCAATTTTGAAGGAAGATGGAGGAATAAGAATTTGTTGTGATTATAAGGTAACTATTAATTCAGCTATTCTAGTGGACAAATTTCCCTTGCCTAGAATTGATGACTTATTCACAAAACTGAAAAATGGAAAGCAATTTTCCAAAATTGATCTCTCATCGGCTTACAATCAAATAGAGCTGGAGGACTCTTCAAAAAAATTTACGACTATTTCGACTCACAAAGGTTTATTCGAATTCAATAGATTGCCGTTTGGAATAAACTGCGCTCCAGCACAATTTCAAAGAATTATGGAGCAGCTGTTCAATAAAATGCCCCGTGTATGTGTTTTTCTTGATGATATTTTAGTTACAGGTATCGATAAAGAAGATCATATTAGAAATTTGAAAAGGGTTTTACTTTGTCTTTCCGAATGTGGTCTCACTGTTAGAAAAGAAAAGTATGTGTTTTTGGCTGATTCCATTTCATATTTACGGTTTGTTATAGACGAGACAGGCCTACATAAAAGTTTAGAAAGAGTTAAGGCAATACGCGACATTTCTCCACCAGAAAATGTCACTCAACTTAAGTCTTTTTTAGGCAGTATCACTTATTATAATCGTTTCATCAGAAATCTCCCAGATATACTTCACATTTTATATAATCTTTTGAAAAAAGATGTAAGTTGGTCATGGGATAAAACATGTCAGGATTCATTTGAGTATATTAAACTTGCATTATGTTCTGACGATGTGTTGGTGCATTATAATCCTGACCTACCAGTTACTTTGACTATTGATAGCTCAGACTATGGAGTGGGAGCAATTTTATCTCATGTTTTTGAAAATGATGTCGAAAAGCCAATTTGTTATGCGTCAAGAACTCTCTCGAAAAACGAATTGGCATACTCTATTTTGGATAAAGAAGCTACCGCGATTGTTTGGAGTATTAAACGATTTTACCAATATTTGTGGGGTAGAAAATTTACCTTGGTCACAGATAATAAGGCACTCATGTCAATTTTTGGACCTAAAACGGGTGTTCCAGTGATGGCAGCAAATAGACTGCAGAGATATGCACATTTTCTGAGTGGCTTCAATTTTGATATCAAGCATGTGTCATCCATTCAAAATGTAGCTGACTTCTTAAGCAGAATGCCGATTGAAGATGACATGTCTGTGCAACTGATCGACTTCCCCATTCATTTAAATTATCTCACTAATTCCGATTCTAGTATACCAGTCGATGTTAACAAGGTCAGAGAACTTACATCCTCAGATTCAGTACTTTCTGAGGTACTCAATTTTGTTAAAAAGGGGTGGCCTGCAAGTCATAAAAGTAATGAATTGAAACCTTAGGAAACCGTAGGAAAAATGAAATCAATGTTGAAGACGATGTCCTGCTTTGGGCGAGTTATCATACCATTTCAGTTACGAGAGGTGATATTGAAGGAGTTGCATGCTACCCATTTAGGAATTGTTAAAATGAAGTATCTTGCGAGATCTTACTTTTGGTGGCCGTCCTTGAATGATGATATTGAAAGTGTTAGTAATCAGTGCAACATATGGCAACGCTTGCAATCATCGCCGGCCAAGGCAGCGTTACAATGTTGGCAAATACCCGAGGGCATTTGGTCGTGGATACATATAGATTTTTTTGAACCGAAGAAAAACAATTTCTTTTTGATTGTCGTTGATGCCTTTTCCAAATGGCTTGAAGTATTTCCGATGGCATCTGTTACCACTAACATGACTATTACAAAGCTGCGAGAACTTTTTTCTAGATTTGGATTGCCTAAGACTATTGCAAGTGATAATGGTCCCCAGTTAGTGTCAGAAGAATTTAAACAATTTGCAAATGTTAATGGTATTAAACTAATAACTATTCCGCCTTATGAACCTCATTGTAATGGTGCAGCTGAGAATAGCGTAAAAACTGTTAAAATTTTTTTGAAAAAGGTTAGTGATCAAAAGAACTGTAATTTACTATTAGCTCAATTCCTTATGACATATAGGAATACTGTTCACTGTTCTACTGGTTATTCTCCTGCTAAAGTATTTTTAGGTCGTTCGTTGAGAACTCGATTTGACATGCTTAGACCAAGCTCAGTCCAAGACAATGAAAAAGTTGAACTTGAAAATGTTTACCAAAACATACAACGTTCTCAACGAAGAAACGTAAAATACTTCAGAGGAAATAGGAAAGTATGTTTTAATATTGACCAAATTGTGTTGGTTAAAGATTATCGCGATAAACAAGTAACTTGGTGTAAAGGACAAGTTGTTAAAATTTTAGGGAAAAACGTTTACGTTGTTCGACCACTAGATTCAAATTTCCTTTGGAAAAGACATACTAATCAGATCAGAGAACTAAATGATGATTATTCGTTGGTCTACCCACCCTGCGTGGAGCTACCGCACACTGTAAACGTTTTTTCCAATAGTGATGGCGCCAGCAATACTTCTGCCGGTAGTTCGGTTGATGATGTGTTTGTGGATGCCGGAATCGCGGATAGTGAACGCGTGGATGTCAGTGACTCGGATTCTAGCTCCATTGGTGAACAGGCTGAACTTACACGACCCATACGTATCCGTAAGGTACCGGATAGGCTCCAATACTAACCATTCATTAATTGTTTCTTTTTTTTATTGTTACCCATCTGATCACTGTTAACAATTTTCGGGGGAGATGAATGTAGTATATTAAGTACGCCCCTGGTTCCCCGAAAATTGCGCATGTACGATGAGTACTCTCACCGGGATACGTTTAACACACAGTATGTCGGGGTTCCGGATTTGTAACAGTTATCGGTGATATATAATAAACCATTAGTATACTTCCGGGTATTATTGATACCAACTAAGACATTACACTGATAATAAAAGAAACTACATCAAAGGTAACCTTAATATCTGTATTGGCAGAAATCTTCTTCAGGTTGGTACTACTGCCAAGATTTTAGGTGTCAAGGTCGATGAGAAGTTAAGGTTTTATAATCATATCAACTGTCTTGCTCAAAAAACCTACCTCCGCGTACACACTTTGTACTCTTGTAGTACTGAACTATAACCTCAGGAAAAAACTGTGTGAAACGCTCGTGATGTCTTGTTTGAACTACTGTAACATCCAAAATAACGAAAAATAGAATTCAAATTATACAGAATAATTGTGTCCGTTTTATATGTGGATTGAGAAAATTTGACCATATATCACAGAAATACAGGACGCTGAAATGGCTCAAATTTGATAAATTGGTGGAATATCACCATCTAGTATTTATTCACAAAGTAATAACCACTTCGAAGCCCGCCTACTTGAGAGAAAAAATTCTATTTAACTTTGTTGTTCATGATCGGTTGGTTAGAGATAGGTTGAGTATCAGAATTCCGCCTCACTCTACAGTCTTATTCACCCGCAGTTTTTCTTATAATTCGGCAGTTCTATGCAGTTCTATATAATTCGTTGGAATATGGCTTCAAATGTATCTTAAATCATTAGATTTAGAAAAGTTTTTAAAAAAGTTTATTTGAGGACTGAAGCTTCAGTCCATATAAAATACAAAGGTTTACAAATGTGACATTTACGGAGTCTAATCGGGTATTGAACAACATGATATGACCGCGAGGCCTATTTATACATTCGGAAAGCTGACTAAGAATTAGTAGAAAACAGCAAAGTCACTATTCTAGCAACGGATTAGCGAGAAGTTGTTATCATATGCTGACACAGCGTCTGGCGCAACATTGTATAATTGCGTACTTACTATGGCGATATAACAACTCCCCCCTATTACAAAAAGTTGTTGCTATGCGACAACTTTTGACAAAAATTGAAAAATGTAAAAATTGTAAAATTATAAAAATTGTAAAAGTGTAAAGTGTAAAATTGTAAACATTGTAAAAATATAAAAAGGTGTAAAAATATAAAAAATAGTAAAATTGCAAAATACAAATTGCAAAAGTAAAATCAGAAAATACAGATTCTGAAAAATAAAATTGTAAGCATAAATGGCGATGCAAAATAACATCTAAAAGCAAAGCTGGAAAAAACAAATAATAAGATACAATCATACAGTCGTACGGGCAAAGTCACATGGAAAATAACACGAAAATTGAAAATGACTTTTTGAACAGTGAAAACACTTCACGGAACACTCACTGCAGTTCGATGTATTCTTCATATGGCTGGATGGTTGGTCTACGTCGAGGAAAAAGTCTGGGAATGTACCCGACTTTTGGTGCTCCTGGAGATGGGCCATTGGCTGGATAATTTGATGCGCAGATGCTGAGTGGTCTACGTTTTCTGCACTTGCAGAACAGGTACAAAGCTACGATGATAACTAACAGGGTGATGATGAAATACGTGAACCATGAGAGATGTCTCGAAACAAACGGCTCGTTCATAAATTATGTCCAGTTGTTCAGAGTATTGGTTTAATTTGTGATTGGCAATTTCGAGTTCTTCAGTATCGATCTTGCTTAGCTTGATCCTTTTGTATGTGATATTCTTGTAGGTGCTAACAGAATATCTAGAATGTAATCTCGTGGTGCCTACAAAGCCACTGCATTCCGGCTGAATTTTTAAAAGTGAATTAACTTTTATCACTCCGGTGGTAGTCTCTCGTTGTCCACACTTCATCGTAATTGGCAGAGGACTAGATATGGTGATTATCCAAAAATTGGTTGCAAGTTCTAGGATTTTGTAATCTTGCAATGCCACAATTGCTATTTGGCAGGCTGTCGGCAGATCGACCGGATTTCGCAACAACTGTGCTTCGCAGACTGCATTACTGTCTATTGGATACGGCAAGAGGTTGAAACAGCTTTTCACCTGAGACTGAAGAACTTTACAACTACCTAAATTTTGAAAGGAAACGTACAAAATAGAATCGCTATCTTTAGCAATATATCTCTGTATAGTGGAAACTACATGAAACAAACCAGTACGTTTATCGAGAATGGGTAGAGGAAACACTCTGTATAAAGTATAGATTTCGAGCTCTAATAACGGGATGCGTAGGACAAATACTGCTCTTGTTTTAGTTTGATACGCTTCGAGTTCCATAAGATTAAGGTACTCTGACACTGTTGCCAAATTAACCGGAAGGGGTAAATTATTTCTCGACGTGTGAGAGATTTCTTGAAGAGAATTTACTAAGTCTTGAGGAGTGATGATAGAAGGATGTATTATTTTTAAACGTGCAAAAGTAATTGAATTTAGAATATCATTAATTGCCTCTTCTAGAAACATGTAGCTTTCCATTAATTGTTCGCAAATTCTAAAAATTGGAATTTAGCTTCATAAAATGCAAGATCGTCTGAAATTTAATAAATTTTGTTTTCAATAAGCTTAATATCTTCATTAAACGTTTCATCAAACATAAGTTTTTGAATAGTGTTATTAAAATTCTTGATAACCGACATGGTAACAGAAATTTGGTTCTTCATGAGGTTTTCGAGCTCATGTTTATCTTTAGAAATTTTGTTAATACAATCGTTATAGTATTCACCGTCCGATGAATCGAGGTTTCCGGTTATTGCTTTCCATATGGTACCTATAGCGTTAATCAGACCGCGTTTCATCCGCGATGCGCTTACAGTGTCATCGAAGATCGCGTAATATACTAAGTGACAGATAAATCCGAACACTCAGTTTAAATGGTTTTATTTTAATAAAATTTTGTATAAGTACTTAATGAAGCATAATAAGTAAATGATAAACATTTCAAAATGATTGCACTGCTTTAAAGCACTTAGACCTTTAATAATGTGTGGATGCACCCTGATGTGCTACGCATTCTCCAACGCGCCTAGGCATGCTTCTGATCAGGTGGTCAATGTCCTCCTGTGGTATCTCATTCCAGGCAACCACCAACTCCTCTCGAAGTGCTTCTAGAGTCTGAGGAGGACGTTGCAAATTGAGCAATCTCCTACCCATCATATCCCACACGTGCTCAATTGGGGATAAGTCGGGAGATCTTAGTGGCCATGGTAACAATGTGACATCATTATGTTGAAAGAAGTCTATTGTGACTCTTGCAACATGTGGTCGGGAATTATCTTGTTGGAAAGTTGGATCTGCCAGGGTGTCAAGATAGGGTAAAAGATGGGGTTCTAGAACTTCTTGGATATAACGCTGCGCGTTCATGTTACCTCTGATGAAGATTAAAGGTGACCTGGAACCATAAGCTATAGCACCCCAAACCATAACTCCAACAGTGTGATGAACATGTCTTTCAACAAAAAACTGTGGATTCCTCCTTTCACCACGTCGCCTTCTAACCCTGGCACGACCATCGTGCATGCCTAAACAAAATCGAGACTCGTCACTAAAGACAATACTGTTCCATTCCTGATCCCAGAGTGACCGTTGTCTGCACCACTCAAGGCGATTACGTCGGTGTTCTCGAGTTAAAGGGAGGACCCAGTGTGGCCGGTATGAAAACAAGCCAAAACTTCTCATTCGTCGGTAAACACTTCGCATGCCAATAGGTCTTCCGTGTTCTGCAAACCATTAATTTGCAATGGACCTGGTAGTGGAGAAACGGTCCCTTAAGGCCAATAATCTTAGGCGGCGATCTTCACGGTCTGTTGTTCTACGGCGGCGTCCAGTGCCTCTGGCTCTTTGCGTACGGCCTTCTCGAAGCCATGCCTGACAACACCTAACCACAGTGTCTACACTTCTTTGCACTCTAACTGCAATTGCCCGAAAAGAAAGTCCAGCTTCCCGAAGTCCCACTATACGGCCCCTATCAAACTCACTCAGTTGACAAAATCGTACAGGTCTCCGTACTCTAGGCATCGTAACCGATCGTAAAGGATGTCAAGAACCAAAATCCGCCAACGTTGATTCTTTACTGCAGCTGAAATATTCATTTTTAGAGCGTTAGTGAATTAAAAAAAAAAGCAGTACAAAAACCGGAATGTCCAACTGATAAGGCTGAAAATTTTTTCACTTGTTATTTACAGTAAGATAAATACATTCACCAACTTTTATTAAAATAAAACCATTTAAACTGGGTGTTCGGATTTATATGTCACTTAGTATATTTAGATTCCAAGGAACGAGAAATTTGATAAAGGAGACTTGTATGAGTTTTAATTTCGCCACTAAATATTTTCATACGATTGGTGGGTTTGTCTACGAGATATGATAAGTGTTCCAGAATATAGTTGTTATCGTCAAGTGCTTTCTTAATGAGTTCTAAGTCTTTATATACAAGGAGTGTCCAAATTTCGTTGGAAATCTTAAGAGGGGCGTCTTCATGAAAATAGATACCTAAGGTGTTGTTAATCGGTTTGGTGTCTATCTGGGCTGTGACAGCCGCAAGAAACAGCAGACTGCACCTGAAAGAGAAACTAAGTCTCAAAACATGGTTTCAGTCTGTCAAAATTAACTTTACTTATTCTATTTGTTTCCGGGTTCTTAAGGAGCGCGGAATTTTCAAAAACCTGAGTAATTTCGAATGGACCATCAAATTTGTTCTGAAGCTTGTTGGAAATTTGGGACTGTTTCACAAAGACTTTATCGCCAACTTTATATGATTGTAAATTGGGTGACAGTCTACTATCAAAGCGAATTTTTGCTTTTTCAGTTCTCACGCGGGCAATTTTGTAGTAAT